CCTCAACCAAATGTTATGAAACTTATGCACAATACTATTACCACAAAACTCAGATAAAGTACAAATTTGTACACTATTACCGTTCTTCAGTTATGTTCCTTTATAACTTTATATGATATGCAAGCGGGGGCATCATCTGTGTCCTATGGACACATTCCCCATTTATGTTGATTTGCTGAATCTAACCCTGTATTTTTATTTTTATTTTGGGTCCCATTTTCAAATTGATCCACATTGAATTCCAAAGGGTCCAAAATTAAAGTTGTTTTATTTCTACAAAAATTGAATTCTTGTTGTTCGATGATATGCTGATTCTAACCGTACTTTTAAATTTTCGATTTTTGGCCCTGTTTTCAAATTTTTCCACATCAAGGTCCAAAAGGTCCAAAATTAAACTTTGTTTTATTTCAACGAAAGTTGAATTCTTAGTGTTGTTTTTTAAATGCTGATTCAAACCGTATATTTAGATTTTTTGATTTTGGACCCGGTCTCCAAGTTGGTCCAAAACGTTGTCAAAGGTTCGAAAATTAAACATTTAGTGTACTTGGGTATGCTGAATCGAACCGTGTATTTAAATTTTGGATATTGGACCATAATAGGTAAAAGACCGATTTCAAATTTTTCAGTTCTTTAACCACATTCATTCTGTGACAGAAACTTATGTTGTGTCAAATATTTAATCACAATTCCAATTCAGAGCTGTACCAAGCTTGAATTTGGTGTCCAAAATTAGCTGCCTCAATTGCGGTCGTATCAAGCTGTTCCCCGCGAAGCATTTTACTATTAGCTTTGATAAATAACTAAACCAACTCTTCCACAATTTTCATCATTACTTTTGCCATGGTTTTCTATTAATTGCCCACAGCACTCGCAGTGCTTTGATTTGAATTTCTCACTTATTATAAGTAATAGGATAAACATATTTGGTATGTAAGTTCCTTGCAGCGTCTAAATGTCTGTCAGACAATGTTCACGTGACCTCCGACTCTCATCGATCAGTGATCAAGGTTTACGTTACATGATTAAATCCTTTTCTCAGATACTATTTAAGCAGTGGGTCAACTATATGTTGTGTATGAAATGATTATAAGGGGTACATGTCAGTCTGACAGGTTCATCTGACCTTAACCTTATTTTCACGGTTCATAGGTCAATGTAAAGTTTTTGTGTTTTGGTCTGTTTTTCAAGTACTATTAGCAATAGGTATATATTTGGTGTATGTAATTGTATGTAATGATTGTAAGGTGTACATGTTTGTCTAGCAGGTACAAATGTATCAAATGACCTCAACCTAGTTTTCATGGTTCATTGGTCAATGTTAAGTTTTTGTGTTTTGGTCTGTTTTTCAAATACTAATAGCAATAGGTCAGCTATATTTGGTGTATGGAATGATTATAAGCCGTACATGTCTGTCTAGTAGGTATCATCTTATTTTGACCTTATTGGTCTTGGATCTTTAAAAATGTGAAGTTTATGTGATACTTGTTAAGTTAAACTTTTATCTTTTATACTTTCAACATAAAATCAATGGTCAGGAAAGCAGGCATTACTGTGTGTGCACTCTTGTTTCAGTATAATGCCAAATTTATTTGCATTCATATTTCACAGTATACAATGGTGTAGGAAGGCTTTTTGGCTGCATCTTAACATTGTACAAGTCTTTATCAATGGAGTCAAATGCAGCATCCTTTTATTACATACAAATGTATATATTGATTCACAATATGCCAACTTTCCCTAATTTGGGGATTTCCCTTAAAAGAGGAGATGACCTGACTCTCAGTCTGAAATCATTCACAATATGAACTGACTACCTCAAAACAAGCTTTCAAAGGAGTAAAACTTCATTTAAGCACATACACGTACATACTCATTCAAGATCAAAGTATATTAAAAAAAAAACACTTAACAACTACAAAGGATGCATTATGCCCTCTTGGTCGTAAAATCTCTAATACATGTACAATTACTAAATACAGATCTATACGATGTACATTGTACTACATGTCTGTCTGTCCATTTGTCAGTCCGGCAAATCAGTTTACCGCACTTCGTGCTTGAAGATATTGATTTGGTATTTGGTATATAGTTTTATCATGACCTTTTACAAGTTTGAATTTTATCCCTGTCTGATGATTTTGTGCAGATTAATTGTCCTTGGACTTAGAAAATTCATGCAAGTGATCAGCTTTCCACACTTTTTTTGGCCATGCATGACATGCTTGAAGATATTGATTTGATATTTGGTTTAAAGTTTTACCAAGACAATTTACAGATCAAGTTGAAATTTTGTTTGGTTTGGATGATTATTTTGCAGAGTTAAAATCCGCGGACTTCATCACTTGGCGTCCGTCGTCCGTCGTCGTTAATATTTACAAAAATCTTCTCCTCTGAAACTTAATTAGGCTAACTTTAACCAAACTTCGCCACAATCATTTTTGGGGTATCTAGTTTTAAAAATGTGTTCGATGACCCTGCCGGTCAACCAACATGGACAACACAGCTAAAAATAGAACAAGGGGTTAAAATGCAATTTTTGGCTGATATCTCTGTAACTAAAGCATTTAGAGCAAATCTGACAAGCGATTAACATGTTCATCAGGTTTAGATCTATCTGCCCTGAAATTTTCAGACGAATCAGACAACTCGTTGTTGGGTTGCTGCCCCTGAACTAGTAATTTTAAGGAAATTTTGCGGTTTTTGGTTTTTATCTTGAATATTATTATAGATAGAGATAAACTGTAAACAGCAATAATGTTCAGCAAAGTAAGATCTACAAATAAGTCAACATGACCAAAATTGTCAATTTACCCCTTAAGGAGTAATTGCCCTTAATAGTAAATTTTTAACAATTTTTCGTAAATTTTTGTAATCTTTTACAAAAATCTTCTCCTCTGAAACTACATAGACAAATTCAACCAAACATGGCCACACTCATCATAAGGATATCTTGTTGAATAAATGTGTCCGATGACCCTGCCTGCCAACCAACATGGCCGACATGGTTAAAAATAGAACTTAGGTGTAAAATGCAGTTTTTGGCTTATATCTCTGAAAATAAAACATTTAAAGCAAATACGACTGGGTAAAAATGTTCATCAGGTTTAGATTTATCTGCCCTGAAATTTTCAGACGAATCAGTCAACCCGTTGTTGGGTTGGTGGCCCTGAATAAGTTATTTTAAGGAAATTTTGCAGTTTTTGGTTATTATCTTGAATATTATTATAGATAGAGATAAACTGTAAACAGCAATAATGTTCAGCAAAGTAAGATCTACAAATAAGTCTACATAACTAAAATTGACAATGTACCCCTTTAGGAGTTATTGTCCTTTATAGTCAAGTTTTACAAAATTCTCCTCCTCTGAAACTACTTTGCCAAATTTAATCACACTTGGCAACAATCATCATATGGGTATCTAGTTTTAAAAAATATGTCTGATGACCCCGCCAGCCAACCAAGATGGCCAACATGGCTAACAAAAGAACATAGGGGGTAAAATGCAAGTTTCGTTTACTATTATGAAACCATTATAAAGAGAGAAAACCTGACACGAGCAAAAATGTTCAGGATGTTGAGCTCTACCAATTGTCCATACATGTCAAAACTGTCAGATGACTTCTTATAGGATTTATTGCCCTTAAAAGACAAATTTTACCATTTTTTTCATTGTTGCCTACTATCTTGAAAACTATAAAAGATACAGAGAAACTTTAAGATGATCAGCAAGACAAGTTCTATAAATAACTCAACATGGTCGAAATCGTTAATCGACTCCTTATTAGAGTTATTGCCCTTTGATGATGATTTTGACCATTTTTTGCGGTTATGCCTTATATCTTAAAATTATAATAGACAGATAGAAACTTAGGTAGGCAAAAATGACCAGCAAAACAAAATCTACAATGAAGACAGTATGGAGGAAATGGTCAGACGACTCCTTATTGAAGTTATTGCCCTTAAAAGACACCTTTTTGTGTGTTTGTCATATATGATAGTAAATTATAATAGATAAAGATACACTTTAAATCACAAAAATGATCAACAAGTCAAGATCTACTAATAAGTCAGATTTTGCCGATATAGTTAAGTAGACTGTGACTCTTTATAGGAGTGATTGCCCTGAAATGAGGATTTTTTTTATCCTCTTTTGTGTTTTTGAGCAAAAACTAAAGAAGATAGAGAGAAACTAAACAGACTAAATGATCAGCAATACAAGATCAACAGAACGGATTTTTGTCATGAATTCTATTCTTGTTTACAATATTGGAGAGTGTCCTTTGTTGAATATGCACATAGACCAAGGTGAGCGACACAGGATCTTTAGAGCCTCTAGTTCGTTATGCTTGAAGATGTTGATTTTATATTTGTATTATAGTTTACACCATGACAAGTTATATATCATGTTAGCATTTTGTTCCTGTGCAATGAATTTTTCACCGGTAGGGGCCTATGTATTGCCATGCAATATTCTCAGAATGCTTGTTGTAAATGACATAAAAAAATGCATGGTTTAGATCTTTCATGATTTTATATTTGAGTCCATATTAAAATATGAGCTGATCATGACCATGAGTAACGCCAGTTATTTTTTTCTTTTTATCTTTTTCCAAGTAACATGCCCTAGTTAAAGACTTCATTCTAGTAAGGTCTGTAGACCTAAAAAGGAGAGAGAATTTTAGTTGACTCCCAAAAGATATATATATGACCAAAAGGAGTCAACTGCATTATACCATGTATACCATTGATTTTCTTGAAACCAATGAATTTTCAAGAATATTTTTTCCTGTTTAGTCTTTTACAGCTGATTTTGTGGTGATTTGTTTTTATGATTTTATGACTTTGTAGGTGTGTTTATATAAAAGAACACCAACGTTTGTCATATTTGTGCCAATTAATAGCATGTTATTTTTCTATTTACAAAAATTGGAAAAAAAATGAGTTTGTTAACAGTATTGTATATTCTGTGTTTTTTGTAATGGCAATTTCTTTTATTTTAGGTTGACAAAGTAGTAAAGGATTTAAAGGACAAGTGCAAGGATTGATTTAAACATTTGTATTATACTTTTGAAGTTAAACAAAAATCAGACATGCCTCTGTTTGAACAGTTTATTTATAAAATTGAGGATAAATAAAACATTTACTTTTGTCCTGCCTGCGACAAGGCTCAGAATACGTGACATGGAGATTACAAACCATCGATGGCAAAACTTGTACAAAGCTTTATATTTCAGAGGGTAGAAGGCCGTGATGATTCATACCTTGTATTCAGATGTGTTGTGTGACCAAGTTTCCATTTGTCATATGTCCATTGTCCTTGGCCTCATTTTCAAGGTCTCACGACTGCATTAAAAAACTGTTTTTTTTGTAACATAAATTTCTCAATTATTATGAGTAATATGATAATTGGTATATGGGATCCTTACAAGGTCACTATGTCAGTAAGACAGGGCGCACCTGACATTGACGTCATTTCATGAATAAGTGATCAAAGTTAAGTTTTTGTGGTCAAGTCCATGTCTCACATACTACAAGCAATATGTCAAATTTATTTGTGTAGGGTATGGTTGTAAGTTTTAATCTTACCTTTACCTTATTTTCATTGGTCAATGTTAACCTCTTTGATTGTTTTTATCATGTGATATTTTCATATTTTTTTTACCAAAGACTCCGATTTCAGGAAGAATTTCGCACAAAGTCTGAAACAATATCAGAGTTGGCCACTTCGATAATGAAATAAACGCGACAGACATATCGAAAAGCAGATACGAAAATATTGGATAATCTTACCGTAGATTATTTCATTGACGCGTAAGATGACTGATATGAAATTGCGATTTCGACAATCACAACCCTATACAAGAACACAATCGTAAACAACTGACACTATTTCGATATTGAACAGCGCATAATGCCTGTTGTTTAAAGGTTTATGAAAAAAATTAGCAATGACGTCGATTCAATTTAATCGACCATGAATTCTAAATCAGAAAATAAAAATCAAGTCCTTAAGAAACCAAATGTTGATAAGAACAAAAATAGTAGTTATCAACAAAATAGCAATACTAATAACCACAAACCAAGCGTCCCAAACAAGATAAGAACAAACCAACTAAGTTAAACGGAGAGAAAAACTCAGACGGCAAAAGTGTTGAGGGAAACTCAGCATAGTCGGATCTCAGGGTCGGGGGCCGACATTAGAGATTTACAATAAGTGTATGACTCCGACCCGAGTCCGAATACGAGTCAGAGTAAGACAGTTTAAATAACGGGGCGGTCTCAAAATAATAAAATCATTGTAAACATTGTACTTTAATCATTAAAGTATAAATCGAAAAGTTGTTCTCGCCGATTGACAAAACAATGAATACCACAAAATGTAACTATGGCTTTAATTGTGTGACGAGGAAGCCTTTAACGAGTTCCAATAACTTTATAACATTTCAATTCGCCAATAACATGTTCAACAGAGACTCGGTATTCTGCAATGAGTCTGTTGATCCTCCTACACTTTCTCGTTTATGTGTCCTGGCTTTCTGGTTATCTGCTGTCTGTTGTATGTCATGTATGGCTGATGAAATAATTCGACCTCTTTCTCTTGACGAGAATCAGGAGCCACCTACTCCTGTATGAGCAAAAGAGGAACATGAACTTAAAAAAAATGATAATGGGCCTGACAATGGAGATATAAATGCAGGCGATGCTACAGCGAAAGCTGAAGAAATTGCCACAGATAATGCTACAACCAGAACTGCAGATAACATTTATAAGGCTCTTGTAAATCTTGAAGCTACAAGAAAACAAAACCCACCCAAAAAGGAAACAAAGAATCTTTAATGCAATTGGCTTGCAGTAACTATGAAAGATATGATACATTTATTACAAAACAGGCTCCAAAATTTTTTAAAGCCTCGGAGTTGATTTAGATTATCTTGGCACACGTAAAATAATCATACATAAAAATTAATGTCTATTCCAAAAATAAAAAAATAACATTTTCTTTGACTGTATATGTATGTACAATTCTTCGACAGATTTTTAAAAATTTATATCAAAGAAGTGTCTCAAACACTTCGGAAATCAGTGTTGATCAACTATTTGTTAAGAGATTTGTCTCTTGTACACACATATTCTATAGAAAATAGCATTTTAAGTGCTCTGTCGTGTACAATTCTTTCAAGGTATTTATAAAATTTTGGTATTGCCCTAGGATAGATAAAATGTGTGCAACGCGGGGGACATTTGTACTCTGTTATTTAATTCTCATCAAAATCGATTCGAACAGTAGTACTTTGAAAATCGTGCTCATAACTTTCAAACAAAGTTTGACCTACTCTAACACCATTTATGACAGTCTTGCGCACGATTTTTCAAACCTGTGTGCACCAGATTAAATATCCGGCAAACAAAAACATTAATATTTACTGTAAATTCAGAAATTATCGCGTGCATATATTATTGCGATTTTTGGGGAAACGACAAAAATGCGAGATTAATTATTGCGATTGCTAGAAAATCTGCATACAGTTCTATATATCTGATATCAGAATGCGAGTTCTTATTATTGCGATACTCACTCAATCGCATTATTCGCATTAATAAAAACCTCGCAATAATTTCTGAATTTACAGTACACAGCATTTAAGTGGCTCCGTTCTAATTCTCCAAGACTATACATAGTGGAAACGAATAGCCCCAAAAACAAAAACAAAAAACTTTAAAAAACTTAACAATAGTGTTATCCAATTCCCTTTTAAATAATACGTCAGTTATGAAGGGACCATTTTTTTAAACTTGAAAAAGGGTTGGTTTTCTTTAATGTAATCGGTAAAAATGATCATATAAATTGAGAAATAAATACTTGTTGTGAAAGTTTTTAAATTCTGAACCTATATGTTAGCAAGCTAAAACTAAAAGTGCACTTTCTACCCTTCAGTAAAAGTCAATTAATTTGATAAATGGTTTTGTCTTAACCCCACACAAATATTGAACACGGTAAAATTAATTAGCGTACATATTATTTTGAGATCACCCCTATAGCTTACCTGCATGATTTGTAGTCGTACTCGGACTCGGACTCCGAGTCTGACAGTTATTGTAAATCTCCATTAGACATTGTGTGTGTGAATACAGTGAAAGTGTATGTGGCCAGAAAAATAGTGTTTTTGTGGATCTGTCTGAGGACGATATATTTCTGTTGATGTTCCGTCGATTGCACCTAGTGCGGATGGTAATTTATGTCAGGCACCCTCCAGACTTCCCCACTCTTCAAATGTTGGCCAGCGAATTAAAGGGGTGTACTTTTCTTTAAAAATTGCCAGAGAAACCGTTGTTTCGTTCATCAGCGTTGATACGCTGACATCAAATAACGTAGAGAGAAAATGGTACGACGGATAAAAGCAGGGCCAAAGAACAAAAAGCATGAGTCTGTTCAGCAGTGAAAGTTAATGAGGTCGGCCGCACCTTTGGCTGAACTGCGCTCCTACATCCCTCAAAATATCTAACATAGTTTCAGGTGTCTCTCCTCCCGTTGTCTCGAAAAAACCATACCTGCTCCTTGAACATATTGCAAATACGTTTCTTCCTGCCAAACAATTCAAACTGTTTATCATAACTTTTGATGCAAAGTGCAAAAAAAGGGGGGGGAGGGGGGGGGGGGGGGGGGGGGGGGGGGGGGGGGGGTCTGGAGGAGGTTTCAGAATTACTAGTAGAATCATGATCAATTGTTTGATGAATGTGATTTCGTCCGGAGGACACTGCAAAATGACAGTCAGCGTGTCAAGGAATAGACGACGTTGATCATCATCCATGTCCTGTAAATACACAAAATACATACCTATATGTAGATGCATATCAATGTATCTCCATCCCCCTTTCTTCCGTACTTGAATATAACATTGCCCTACTGTGTATAGTTGTATTCGGGTAGCTGTCATTCTTCCAAAAAAAATAAAGATTTAATAAAACACCATCACATCTTTGTGTCACTTTTTTGGGGGAAAATCCTTACTCTTAGTTGAAAATAGTTTCTCAAATACTTTTTTTAAAGATTCATTTTGAAATTACGGCCTATACAATAAGCTCCAAAACTGGGGATTGACGTCGTTTTCAAGAATAATGTTCTTACTCCGAAAAAGAATCCTCGTTTATATCTAGATCACTAGTGTCAGAATAAAAAAAAAGTCCGGAAAAGAACGGGGGAAGGGGGGAATCATAATCTCTTTCTTTCAACGGGGAAAGGGGGAATCATACCCTCTCCCCCTCTCTCTCTCTCAACGGGGGAAAGGTGGAATCATACTCTCTCTCTCTCTCTCTCTCTCTCTCTCTCTCTCGTTCAAAAACGATGGGTGTGTATGATATATTAATTAAGGATAATAAGAAATGTATATGTTAGTAGAATCATTTAACCTGAAAATGTTGTGTTTTTCTCAATAGTATATAGAACATACACCGATATAAGTGATCAGATAACACGAGCACAAGATTGTTGTGAAAGTATTAGAATTCTGAAAAAAAAAATGTTAGAAAGAGTTGATGGAAAAAAACCTTCGTTAACCCTTCAGTAAAAAGAAATCAATTTGATGAATGGTTTTGTCCTATCACATTGCAACGCAAAGATTTAACACGGTAAAATTAATTAGTGTACAAATTATTTTTTGAGATTTCCCCTATAGCTTACCTTAAAGTTTATAATTTGAAGTCGTACTCGTACTCGGACTCGGACAGTTTTGTAAATCTCTATTATTAGACCTTTTCAACAATTGCCTACATAGATATAGGAAGATGTGGTATGAGTTCCAATGAGACAACTCTCCATCCAAGTAACAATTTATAAAAGTAAACGATTATAGGTCAAGGTACGGCCTACAACACGGAGCATTGGCTCACACCGAACAGCAAGCTATAAAGGGCCCAAAAAATTACTAGTGTAAAACCATTCAAACCGGAAAACCAACGGTCTAATCTATATAAAAACGAGAAACGAGAAACACGTATGAACTACATAAACAGGCGACAACTACTGTACATCAGATTCCTGACTTAGGACAGGTGCAAACATTTGCAGCGGGATTAAACGTGTTAATGGTACCAAACCTTCTCCCTTTTCTGAAACAATAGGAAAACATCACAACATAGAAAGACACACT